AAACAATACGAGAAATAGTTCTATATTACGACAACACGATACACTACAGATTATTAACAAATTAACGAGACACAAAACAAACGACTAACAAATATATGAAAATACAATAATGAGAGAAACGCGCGATCAGTACGAGGCTTTGTGGCGGACTGCCGGCGCAGCAGCCCGGCGTCACCTGCGATAACGCGGCCGCGCGTTGGCTCCTGATTGGCGCGCGCACGCATCACCATCAGCCAATCAGGCGCATAACGCATTTCGTGTGACATGCTATACTCTCTAGTACGATTTTGGTCCCCATAATTTTCATACCCCGGGCCTATATATGTAAATCGATTCTTAAGGAGTAAACTCCAAAAAAAAATTAAAAAATCATATATGGGACTGAGAAAAAGATAAATTTATTGAATCACTCCGAACTTCCTTGGTGCACTTTTGAATTTTCTTACTAGCCAGAGTTTTATATGCCGATCGATCAACAATATTTCGTTTTTTGCACTGGCACCGTGTTTTATTTTTTACGTTGTTTCTTTTGCACACGCGTATGTAGTTTTATCTTGGAGCGTCAACAGATGGCGCGGATAACGGATTGAGTAAGGAATAAGGAAAAGGAAGTCCGAACAATATAGCCTATGCAGCGTATTATTTGTCACAAAAGTCAAAGCCTCCTCAAAATATTTACTCCTACTGTTTTGTTGAGTACAAATTCAAGGCTACGCACTTTCCTCATTTTTGGCTACAACACCGACATCATCATTTTATCATATAGATGGATTATTGTCTTTGCCCTGCGGTGATGTAATTTCGTTATCAATTCGCAGCCGTAAAAAAAAACTTTAAAAAAAATTTTGTACGTTTAAGCTTATAAATTTCTTATGTACATTTTTATTTTGTAGTCATGAGAATTAGGCTCATGACGGAAAAAAATACACCTAAACACTTATGTGTATCATATAAAATACGACGTACAGAGAATACGGGCTACATAAAAATTTAATAATTGCTGAAACGCAAACGCCTTGTCGAATTAGGCACGCAGTAAGAGGCAGAATACAAAATTGTTGCTGTTAAGGTTTTGTCAGGCGATTTTTTTCAAACGTCGACACATTTGCTCAATGTTTTACATTCGCCGAGCAGATTCGCTGTGTTGTTTCAGATATTACAGTGGTTTTGGATTATAGTATTTTGGATAGTAAAACGTTTTGAAGAAAACCAAGATGTGTTTTAAGTTGAAGGGGTGAAGTTAAGGTTTTGTTAACCTTGTTATATTATGTAGGTACATAGGAAACGCGAGTAATTTGTTTTGGAATTTTGATATTATTTACATTCTAATTGTTATGAATAATAAAACTGGATCGTGGTATGTGGCATGTCTCGTGATATTTAAAATGTGGTTATCAATTACTATATAATAATATAGTGTCCTAGTTGTGGCGGTGGGCATGATAATACACAAGATAATTGACAGATGCTTGAATCTCATTTCTAACTCGCTAACGAATTTTTCAAGATAAGGTTACTTATATATTATTATGTACAAATTCCGAATGCTCACATCTGGACTGTCGGTCTACCGAGCAATTTGACGTGCTCGGTGGAAGATCTTCCCTATATGTCGTTAACCCACAAATAGTTAATGTTTAAATAGTGTTTTAGTTTCTAAATCATACCACACCTTAAACCTGTCAAAGTTTCTCTGTCTTTCATTCAGAAGCAGATGTGCAAAGCTACACAGAGTTTCTGCTAAAGGTCCCTTATTATTAATTCGTGTTATAATCGCATACAACCACATACCCTGCGTGCCCCCTAGGTGCAGACCCCTGGCAAGAGGTTCGGCACCCTGCCTGAAAAAAAGGAAAACTTTGACCCAAGTTGGGACCTCACGCTGGAGCTAACGGTTCACTTGGTGTTAATTGTTTACTGAAGTTTTTAGACATAGACAACCTAAATGCCAACAACCAACAAGAGACAATTTTAAGTATCAGTTCTATTGTACAACAGCTGCCCTTATAGTTTTAATTGAATATATAATGACGGCACGCTACGTTAGCTAGAAGGTACCAAAAGCTCTGCAATACCAAACATGGGCTCTAGTTAAAACGTGAAAAAGGACAGCTGCTTAATGTTTTAGTTTGAATGATGAGGAATTCACAAATTTTTTTGACCTGGGACGACAGATGCCAGCCATACACTACGTTCGTGTAGCCAAGCGAAACTCTTCCTACTTCCAGAAAAAAGACGGGCTTTTCTAGTTGTGAGTGTTCTTAATTTGATATACATATGACAACAGGAGAGGATACGCTGTGATCACTACTTCGCTTCACGTAACATCACGGGATGTGTACCTCACAATCCAGCTGGCTTAGCTCAGCGTGTGGATCGAAATGGTTAAGCACCGTGGCGCTGACGTCTACCGAACTGTCATCTCATAGGGCAATCAGGAAAAAATTGCGTTATATGTGCGCTTCCCTAGCCCTTTTATGGTTTGTCGCAGTGATGTTTGAGTGAGAGGTGACGGTAGGGGTGTCCAGTGAGAGCTCCTTCCCATACTTTCTTCTTCTCCTTCCTAACTTTTCCTGGTCTAGTGACAGATCCGCTTAAACTCCTCCACTTTGACCGGTCCCCGGCATCCTTCTGGATGAGATTATTCTCCTTCATATCCGCTTTTACTACGACCGGTAAAAATGGGGCGATTTCTGGTCCCGCTATAATAATAAAAAAAGCAAGTCAGATAGTACTGTAAACGGGCCTAACACATATAATGCGAGACTAGTTCGGTGAATCTAGAATAACCCCTCGAGGTTACTAGAAGAGGTAGGGAAAAAATAATGCAAGTGAAATGTTATAAATGTAGGTATATGAATTCGTTACGTGTCGCCTATGGCGGTACGTGGTTTTAGACACAATTGGAGACCGTAATAAAATCCGGACACATTTTTAGTTTACGACTTAAATGGCCTATATTTCGGTGTAATTAGTATGACCTCACGTATTATGAAATACAGGAGTCTTGTTACAGATTGTTGTTTACAGATGGGCTGCGAGTTCGTTTGCGCCAGAAAAATCATGGTCCAGCGGTATCAACACTCATAAGTCTCGGTTCCTATTTAATATCAAAATGTTTTTATTATTCTTGGAAATCGACAAGCCGTTATTACATGTCCAGTATAACGTGACTCTTTCACGTTTGCTCGCGTCTAATATTTATATAGACGAACCTCTCATTGTGACTATTATTTTTAGGTTCAATTTGAATCGCTAAATAATTAACCTCATGAAACCCACCGCCTACTGCTTAAAGACAAATGTCTTCAACATGCTGCCGGTCATGACTGCCATATATGGCGCTGTAACGTGGACATTGATCGTAGGTCTGGTCCGTAAGTTCAAAGTCGCTCAGCGTGCTATGGAAAGATGTTTGCTCGGAGTGTCTTTGATGGATCGAGTCAGAAATGAGGAAATCCGTCAAAGAACCAAAGTAACCGACATAGCCCTAAAGATTAGCAAGCTGAAATGGCAATGGGCCAAACATACGTGTCGCAGAACCGATGGCCGTTGGAGCAGACGTGTTCTGGACTGGAGACCGCGTACCGGTAAGCGGAGCGTTGGGCGTCCCCCTGCCCGTTGGACCGATCACTTGCGGCGATATGCTGGGAGAGATTGGATGCGGAAGGCGGAGGATCGTTCATTGTGGCAGACTATGGGAGAGGCATACATCCAGCAGTGGAGAGATACAGGCTGATGATGATGAATCCCACCGACCCATTCCTCCTTACCTTTTTATGTTAACTGGCATTGTTACCTTAAACTTTGTTAAATCTGTTTGAAAGAAGTCTAACCGAGACAAACAAACGAAAATTAAATAAGTTTTATTTTTTATTGCATATATGGATCAACGAGCTCACAGCCCACCTGGTGTTAAGTGGTTACCAAAGTCCATATACATCCACAGCGTAGATGCCGCCACCCACCTTGAGATATGAGTTCCAAGGTTTCAGTATAGTTACAACGATTGCCCCACCCTCAAACCGAAACGCATTACTACTGTTACGCCGGTAAGGGTAATGTCATTTATCGCCGAATAGTCGAACGAGTATCGAAGGATCCAGAATGCTTGAGAATTACAACGCTATCTATTGTCAGATAGCGGAAACTGCTACTAGAGAGGTGTGGAATATTCTCGATGATTCTAGAGATGAGGTATCGACTATAAAAGCGTTGTAGAGATGGCACGCTGTCAGTCACATTCCGATAGAGGCACCCGTCACGTGCGGACGTGCTCATCGTCCACTCGATCGCCCGGTCTTTGTTCGCCCGGCTTTTGTTAGCCCGGCCATTGTTCGCGCGGCCTGTGTTCGTGATACATCTGCCGACCAAGTGTGTTTCCTGGAAGCTTTTATTTGTTTTGTTTTAGTTATTTTTGTGTTCGTGGAACATTTGNGACGACGACCAGTAAGATATTGCGAGTCTTAGTGTAACTGTACGATTCTCAACTCATTTTGTATTTTGTTAGTTATTGTGTCGCTTTTTTTTATATTAAACCTCATACCAAATCAGTGTAAACATTATTTATATATCATCTTCGCCAACAGCCCGGAACAACGAACTCACGAAAACTCACAAAAGCCCGCCAGTCGGACTTGTAGTGTTAAAATGATGATTTTTTTGTTGCGTACATCGTTGAGCTCACGGCCCACCTTTTGTTAAGTTTTTTTAATGGATTTTATAACCTGGTAATTAAGACTTTTAAGTCAAGTCTTAGATTAATTTTAATGAAAACTTTTTTATATGAAAATGGTATTATGAAATGAAATGAAGTTGATTAATATGAGACATGAAATGAAATGAACTGAGATGATATGGGATGAAATATAATCTCAGTAAAATGGTGGTCATTTACTGACACTCTTTCAGTGGACTTTTTGGGGGTTCTGGAGAAGTAACGTCCAGCGGCTTTGTTTCATTTTCCTACATTTGTGCACTTTCACAGATATTAAACAGTTAATAAACCACCGCTATTACAAATTTAAACCTGAAGAAACACTAAATAGACAAAATAAAACAAATCACACAACTTCACTCCTCGCGTTCCCGCCAAAAAAAGTCCCTTTTGCTATGTGATTACCATAGCCCATAGATAAAACAAAGGTGACTGACAAATCTAAATTGAGGTCTATGTTTCAATTGTCACAGTAATTACGTAAATTCGAATACATATTTTTGTGGTTTCAATTTTTATTAGACGATAGTATTCCTTCATTATGGAAGCCATATGTGAACAGTAGTACGTATTTTTTTTTCAAAAAAAGCTTTCGCATCGCTGATGTTATGAGCAACGGTAAGAGCTTACCATCAAATGGGCCGTAAACTCGTCGACTCACAACAGAAACAAAAAATATGCACTGTACGTATTGGCAACCATCTTCAACTAAACTATTTTTTTTTAAAACGAATTAAAAGTCCGAAAGCTTGTGTGAACATAATATTTTGAAGTTTTCGTACGTTTTTCATTAAACAATATGTAACATGTGCTAAGTGCTTACTTTATGTTTAACCAAAGTGTCTAAGTATAATGTTTAAAATTAGCCAAGTACTGTTTAATAAAGTCTAGCAAATGAAATAGAGACATGTACATAAAGATAATATTATTATGTATGTAGTATTTAAATGTATAATGAAATCTGTAATTGCGAGTTAGTTGTCCGGGGACCACAATAACTTTATAGTATTAAAAACGTTGTTAACAGAACCGGGAGTTTTATTCTTTTTTTTTCCTTAGATGGGTGGACGAGCTCTCGGCCCACCTGGTGTTAAGTGATTAACGGAGTCTATAGACGTCTACAACGTAAATGCCACCCACATTGAGACAAGAGCTCTTTCCCAGACTTAGCAGTACAACGGCTGACCCACGCTTCAAACCGAAACGCATTACTGCTTCACGGCAGAAACAGGTAGGGTGCGTACCCGTGCTGACTCACAAGAGGTCCTACTATCAGTTAAGCCGCAAAGCAGTTAAAATTAGGAACTACTATAGATTGGACTGACTGGTCCGGTAGTTAGAATCCCTGGCACAAGACGCAAACATTCGTGTGACGAACAGGTTTGGTTACTCAGTGTCTGGTTGTTTATATATGTATGTCGGAGAACCACAATTATTAACACTATCGTCAGACATCGTAGGGGCGAATAGGGTGATCTATAGTCGGATTTTTAATTAGACGAAGCCAGCTGACAGTAGCTAATGTCACTTTGTGAAATAATGTTGCTATATTTAAAGTAATAGTGATGCGTTCAGTTCTCGTTCAATCACATGAATGAACAATGAGTGTGAAGAGTTAATCATTAATTTCAAACTATAAAAGAATATTATTTATATTTTACAATAAAATTGTATTAAAGTGCTCCAATATATGTTACTAGTAGTATGTAACTACAATCAGTTTTTTTATTTTCATTACCTACCCATAATTGTTATATTTTATACGTCTATAATTTCAACTATTGTGTTATTTTTGTATAATTTCAACTGTATTGGAAATAGGACAGTCTTACAAGCTTCCTCGCAATGTTTTTCTTAATGTTTAAAACACTCGGTATTCAGTACAGGTAGATACTATAGGAACATAATATTTCGTCGAAAACTCGTTGGTATGTACAAAGCACGCCTAAAATTCGAACCCCGTACCCGATATTGGCAATTCGGCACACCAACTATTCACTAGACAATCCAGGCAATTTCATTAATTCAGGATTTTTTCAATCGTTCACTTTGTCACAACACTATTTTTATTTCATCAAAAACTGACAACACAATAAACGTCAGTTGACTTCGTCTAATAAAAAATCCGACTATAGTTAAGAGAAATATTAAGTACACCAATCACGTTTGCTGTCTTAGAACAATTTAGAAACCTTCTCTTGACG